AACAAGAAAATTGCTTGATCTTCTTCCTCAATCTTGATTTCAAGATTTTCCAAATCTGAAACCAGCTTTGTAAACTCATCAATGTTGTCATCAATTGACTTTTATTCACCCATTTTGAAGCTATAAAACTTATGCTTCAAATAGATTCGATTTGGCAAAGCTTTAGTCAAGTAAAGCTCCTCTAGTTTACTCCACATTTCAAAGGCTATCTTCTCCTTTATAACCTTCCTTAAAATCGTATCAGAGAGGCTAAGGATGATGGTATTTCTTGCCTTCTTTAAGGTGTAAGCTTTGGTTGAAGCATTAGTTTCAGATGGCTTTGACAAAGCTTCTTCCAACCCATGATTGCCAAGGTGTGCCATCATCTTTTCCCTCCATAGGTTGAAATCATTATTGCCATCAATTTTTTCTACTTCAAATTTGGATGTTGACATGTTGTGATTAAGATTCTGGCCAAGAATCCTTTTTCACAAATGATGTGTACAGCCAGTTAGGAAGAAGAGGAAAAACAGAAATTTCAGACTTGATGTTTAGCCCTTTTTCAGGTTGTCAATGTCCGACTCTGATACCAATTGTTAGGACTAGTTGACTTCCTTTATGTTTGAGAATTAATAGATAAACAATTTGTACCAGCAAAAAAAGGAACCAGTAGAAGAAGAAGCAGAAACAAAGAACAGATTACTAAAAAACCAGCAAGAAATAAAACCAGCAAGAAGAAAAAAGAACAGATTTTCGAACAGGAAGAATGATCTTCCTCAATCTTCATTCATTTGAGACTTTTCATGATTTTTATCAGAAAACATCAGAAAGGATTTTACAGACTTACAAGAGTTTTACCACTCTATATCATCTCACTTTCTATTACAGAGATATTAATACCAATTGTTGGGGCTAGTGGACTTTCTTTAGGTTTGAGAATTAATAGATGTACAAGTTGCACCAGCAGAAAAACGAACCAGCAGCAGAAACAAAGAACATATTACTAAAAAACCAGCAAAAAGAAAAAAGAACATATTTTCGAACAAGAAGAATGATCTTCCTCAATCTTCATTCATTCAAGACTTTTCATGATTTTCTATCAGAAAACATTAGAAATGATTCTACGGACTTACAAGAGTTCTACAACTCTATATCATCTCACTTTCAGTTATGCAACTATCACAGGCTCCACCTTGTTGAAGATTCTAACTGAAAACAATGAAGTGAAGGCTCCTACATGAAATAGAATTTTTTGTTTGTTTGAGGAATCAAGAAACTGATTTTAAAGAATCGGAGTCTTACAATTAGGATATGGTCCCCTTTGGGATCCGCTCTTCGTCGAAATACCCACACTTACCTATATGGTGGATGGTTCATCCATGCAAAAGCTTCTCCCATGGCCTTTGTCAATGGGAAGCATGTGCTATCTGCTTCAACGAATTCGGACGTGGTCCATTTGGGATCTAGCTCTTTGTCGAAATGTCCATGCTTCCCTGTATGGTGAATGGTTCATCCATGTAGAGACTTCTCCTATGGCCTTTGTCAATGGGAGGTATGTGCTATCCGCTTCGGCGATGGTCCCCTTTGGGATCCAGCTCTTTGTCGAAACGTTCACACTTCTCTACATGGTGGATGGTTCATCTATACATAGGCTTTTTCCATGGCATTTGGTAATGGGAGGCACATGCCATCCGCTTCAGGGAATTAGGAGATGATCCCATTTGGGATCAAACTCTTCATCGAAATGCATATGCTTCCCTGCATGGTAGATGGTTCACCCATACAAAGGCTTCTCCCATGGCCTTAGTCAATGGGAGGCATGTGCTATCCGCTTCGACGAATCAGGAGGTGGTCCCCTTTAGGATCCGCTCTTCGTCGAAACGCATACACTTCCCTGTATGATGGATGATTCATCCGTGCGAAGGCTTCAATGGGAGGCATGTGTTATCCACTTCAACGAATTAGGAGGTATCCCCTTTGGGATCCAGCTCTTCGTTAAAACGCACACGCTTCCCTATATGGTGGATGTTTTTTCCATGCAGATGCTTCTCTCATGACTTTTGTCAATGAGAGGCATGTGTTATCCGCTTCGACGAATTAGGAGTTGGTCCCCTTTGGGATTCAACTCTTTCTTCGAAACGCCCACGCTTCTCGACGTGGTGGATAATCCATCCATGCAGAGGTTTCTCCCATGACTTTTGCAAATGGGAGGCACGTGTTATCCACTTCGAAGAATTAGAAAGGGGTCCCATTTGAGATCCACATCTTCGTCGAAACGCCTACACTTCGATGTATGGTGGATGGTTCATCCATGCAGATGTCTCTCCCATGACTTTTGTCAATAGGAGACATGTGCTATCCGCTTCGACGAATAAGGAAGTGATCCTTTTTGGGATCTAGCTCTTCATCGAAATGCCGACGTTTCCCTACGTGGTGGATGATTCATCCATGCAAAGGCTTCTCCTATGAATTTTGTCAATGTGAGGCATGTGTTGTCTATTTTGGCGGAATCTCGTGAATAGTCTCGAACTATCGGTCTTATAAACTAGCATTGAAAAGACGAGGTCTTATAACTAAGCTCAACAATAGGGAGAGGTAAGGAATAAACATCTCGCGGAACTAAAAATAATCATATGGCGAATAAACATCTCGCGAAGCCAGAAACAACAATTGGCGAGGCGGGGAATAATTATCCCGCGAATATATCTCGAACTATCGGAGACTTACAAACTGGCCTTGAAATGACATGGTCTTATAGCTAGGCTCGACGATATAAAGAGATGATGAATAAACATCTCAAAAAGTCAGGAATAATCATCTGGTGTGGGGAAGAATAAATATTCCGCGAATAGATCTCGAACTATCGGAGTCTTACAAACTGATTTCGGAATGACGAGGTTTTACAGTTATGCTCAACGATAGGAAGAGGAGATGAATAAACATCTCGCGAAGCCAAAAATAATCATCTGGCGAGGAGGGGAATAAACATCCCGCGAAAGAGGCTTGGAAAGACATGCTTTCAATTTTTCCCACGAATCAATTCTTGTTTGGCCCCTTTATTTCCAGCAAGTTATTCTTCTGTTTGAACTTAATGTCTAAATATGCCAAAGAGATTTATCTCAATTTGCTCAAGGCCATTTGCTATGCTCTTTGTTCTTGTGGCTGGTATTTCATTTGATGTTGGATTTGCTCAAAAGAATGGTTAGATATGGCAGAACACGAGGAGCTAAACAGAGCCTCTTTCTTTGATAAACCCTTGGCCACTTCTTTCTTTCTTTGGTAGCTGACCTCCGTTATTGGTAGAGAAATGTTAGGAAAAACAACATTTTCGTGTAACTTTTTGGCACGTGGTAGAACATGGTTAACGTACCGTTTCTTAAAGAAGGTGTCAATCTGTTGACTTCCAAAAATGAGCAAACAAAATCCATTTCACATTCCCTCTACGTAGATATCACCTGCACACTGGAACACTCGTTAGGAGGCAAAGGCCACCAGTCGAGAAAAAGTCTGACGACCGTTTATACTTCGACGGTCAAATCATCGGCCAGACGAAAAAAAGTGAGGAAGAGAAAATTTGGATAGGGTTATAATACCTTATTCTGAATGAAACTTAGAGCCTATCTGTTACTGATTTTTTGGTCCAAAATCTTGATTTTTGAGTCTTTGACCATTAAAAAGCAACATTAGGCCCACCAATGTGAGGAAGAAGTCAAAAGGCCGCTGGCAATAGTCATATTTTTTATTAAAATCAAGCAAAAATTGCTCCCAAACAAGCACTTAAAATGTTAATGGGTCAGTGGTTAATGGACTGAGCCCAAAATGGAATTGTTTAATTAAATAGCTTAATTAATTGAATAGTCGATACCACATTGACATATAAAGAACCCCCTCCATCTGAGCATGCCATGTAATTTTTGGATATAACATTACCATCCGTTATTTCACACGCGACAACAACATATGAATATATTGTCAAATACTTTCACTTTTTTAAATTGTCAAAAATCCCATGTATAAGCTTTAAAGTGAGGAACACCACATTTTCTCGGAAAATATTGTGAAATAACAAATATATAAAAATATGGCGCTCAAACAGGCCAGTCAAAATCAACAATTAATTTTATCCACACATTTCACGAGATTTATAACTTTTCAAATCACATATTCCATCAACTTTTATCAAAATTTACTAAAAATGTGTTTTCTATATTAACCATACAGGGGCTAGCTTCTCATAATCATGGATAAAACCAGACCATAAAACATGGAGCTCAATACAATCGACGTAATAACAGCAATTTGAAAAGATCTTTGATCTTAAACATATTCAGCCGTTTGACAACCATTATTTTGAGAAAATGAAGATTTGAATAGTAATTTTTTGAAGAATGTATGATTAAAAAAATAGGAAAAAAAGTTATAAACTTACGTACAAAATATTTTATTGTGTAAATATGTATTTGAAAATGAGAAAATTAAATAATTTTGAAATAATGATTATCAAACGAGGACTCGGTAAAGTTTAAATAGGTCTTTACATAATCAATTATGCTACATGTACATAATTCATTATATTATCTTTTACATTATGTCACGTGACAACACATTGTTGGACAATTTAACAAAAAATAAAAATTCACCAATCAAATCTTGTCAACAAAGATTATGTCAAACATGTGTACAAGTAACATTGTCCTTGCATAATATTCTCAAGCATTTAACAAATTCCAGTATGCTACGTGGCCATTTAACATAACGTCTAAACAAATCGAGATAAATAGCTTTTCTTGTATTACATAATAACTTGCCCAAATGAGAAAAGCAAAGGCAAAGCTAAACAAAAATGGTATTAGCTAAAAAAAAATTAACTCATATTTCAATTTCTCAAACATCTTTGGTATGTTGAACACGAAGAAGCCGATAGGATTAAATATGAGAAAGAAGTTAAATTATTGTGTACTATGTGTGGTGCTGGCCAATACTATGTATCAAACATGCTCGATGTTTTAGGTCAGTTTACATTAACAAAGAAGGGTATAGGAAGGCATGTCCTCGATTCGCAATACATCTTCCATCAGAAGTTCTTTCTCCAGCTGAGATCTTGCCAATTTCATAATCTCCTGAGGTACATAGATTTGGGAGAAAAGAAAAGAAAAGAATCATACAAGTGAAAAATCACATTAAAATGAGAGTGTGAATTGAAACTATGAAATTATCAATTTAAGGACCTGCACTGTCCACTGTCCTAAATAGAGAAAATTGGTAATAATGGTAAAAGATTTACTCCAACGATTTACAATCTCAACGAGTGGATTTAACTACATGAAGATTAGAACAAGGTTGCTTACATTGAACTCCATGTAAGTTGCATTCTTCTCCAGCCATAGTTTATCCATTATCATGAAAGCCACACAATATAGCAGGTCAAAGGCCCACTCGTTCTCTGCAAATGCATCAAGATTCTTATTTTTGAAGCATTTAAAAAAAATCGATGTAAATATCATGAAAGTGATATTGTTTTTACCGGACAACATCTGTAGAAAAACAGCCCTAACAAATTTTCTGGGTTTTGCTGCATATCGTTGATCTCACATTAGCCAGTTGCCTAGAGATTTATGTAATTTGTAAAATATTACAAATTTGAGATGTATTTTTCCCCTTACTGGCATCTAGATCAAGCATTTGCATGATCATGAATGTGATATTTACACCGGCGACAGCAAATGGATATTCCCAAACAGCTCTTTTTCCTGCTTGCTTCTTCAATAGAATTTGAAAGGATGTCTGTGGCATGGGACAAAGAAATTATTTTGACCAGAAATGCTCTCTAAACTTAAAGAATGCATTTTATTACTGGTTAATCCAAAAAATGCTCGTGGCCATTGTTTCAACTTTTCCAGTAGGACACAGTCTTTACACACAGTAATTTTCTAAGAGCAATGTGTCGAAAACTGAAGCCAAACGGCGAACTCAGACCTCCTTCCCTCTAAATGTAACAGAAAAGGAATAACAAAACAGTACAAGTACCCCATGCAGGCCATAAGCATATAACTTAGAAAACTGAGAGTGGAATCTTACAGAGAATGTCTTGGCAAAAAACAGTAAATTCTCCAAAGAAATGAACCCAGCTCCTCTGCATACCAAAATTGCAATGACAAGTGTGACAAGAGAAAATGAACGAGGGAGTTAACAGATGTAGAATTAAATATGATAAAGACCAAAGAGAAGAGAAAAAAAACCTGAAGTCCGTCGATGGATCTCTTCCTTGCCATCCCATTTCTTTCCATTTATCAGATATCAAACTTTGTATCTCCTGACCAGGGTATGCAGCAGACCATAGTGCCCTTAAAGCTTCCTGCAATTATGCAAGTTTGATTAGATGACAATAAAAAGTCTCAATATTCTGTGAATTTTCAGACGCAATTAAAAATTACAAAAAAAGGAAAGGCTCTGCTATCCCTCCTCTTGTGTGAATCCAACACTTGCAAACAAAACACTGGTAATGACTATAAAGCAACAGGTATGTTACAGATTTTATCAAATAATGGGAGATCATAACACTGATTTGAGAATGTAATACATGCCTGATGGTCTGGTCTGGAAGCATCAAAGTATACTTTTGTCCGGTGTCTCAACCTTCTGAGTCTCTCTTCCTGCCAATTTTAGGAAATATTTATGTCAAATAAAAATAATCATCTTCAGGAATTTAACCAAATAACAAAAGCAAATATTATCGACATTGAACTGTCAAATGCTGTTAGGTCCATGATTCTCAACCCCACAAAAATAAGAGGATGTACATGTCTGTGAGTTTATGGAAAGTTAAAAATTGTTAGAATCTAACTAGTCATATTTTAAACAAACTGGTTTACTGATATAATAGTGTGGTCCTTCAACCATTACCCATCAAACATTTCCAATGATCCATTTTCCTGCAGGGCCCAATGGTTGAAAAAGATGACATGCTATGATTAATATTCCCTTTTTCGTAATGAATAGAAATCATTGCCTGTAAGGGTGTCAAATGGATGCAAATTCGTGAAAAGCTTCCCTTTCGATTGAAGCAAACACAAGTGAGGCCTTTTCCCATCCACACTGGTTTACCACAGGTTGCATCATCTGCACTCAAACCAGACTTTCACTCTTAATGAAGAATGTCAAGTATCTGACCATAAATAACTAGCACCACATCAATAACACGTTGATCCACAATATGTACACAGTACAACAGATAGACGAACACAAGTAGTGGATTGAAGCAGATTAGTGCAGGAACCAGTTATCTATGAGATTCCTATGAAATTCACCATTGCCTCCCGTGGGCGATATCCAATTTAATCGAAAAGTCGAGTACTTGGAAGTATTTGTACTTTTATAGATTCCTCAGCTCCAATCTATTCCCACAAAATGACAATAGAAATTTATATTAGTCACTTGGGAGTATTTGGCTATATAGTTTTTAGTTTGTCATTATTGGAAATATTAAAGGACAATTATCTAAGGCTATAAACAAATCCAAACAAAGCATAACTTCAAACACATTTCAAGGCCAAACTCGAATTGAGCATTTACACACCTTACCATTTTTGAAGGCGTGCTGCAGTATTGTAACTCGCAAGAGAGATATAAGAATCGAGCTCTAAAATATACTGTTTGTAATGTTGAATCAATATCAGGATCAATCTAGAATTGCTCAAATGAAGCATAACATTGAAATCAGTAAGAGAAAATAACACTTGGCCATTGCAAATCAACTAAAAAAGTTAATAAATAAAGAAATAAACCATACATTGAAAAAACTCAATTAATCAATGAAAAACCATTCAACTATCTGATCAACCAACAAGCCTTAAACTCAAACCTCAAGTATTTGCGCAAAACAAAAGCCTCACCGATGATTTTTTTTAATATCTTAGTAACACAATCAATGTTTAAAATTAGATCAAAACGAGAGCCTCACAGATCAAGGACACTATCATTTCATTTACTATCTTCAAACAAAAACGAATATACACGCATCACAGAGAAAAAATATTTAGATTTTAAGAGTATATCAATAATGGGTACCTGACGAAAAAGAATTAGACTGAGTGCATTTAGAAAAAGAGGATGAAGGACTGAACGCACGAATAGCAACACAGCTCCCTTGAATCCTCTCTGGACTCATTTGAACGCTAGGAAATGATTAATTTCTCAATAATCGTTTGCCCTAGAGTGTTCGTTCGTGTGTATGTATATAACGTATGTATAGATATAGATAGAAAGAGAGCGGTGGGTACTGTTACGTTGTCGTTTTGTTTGTTTGCAGTTCTTCCCTTCTTTGTAGTCTCCGTCTCACTTCTTTTAGTGGAGTGAATATTCCATCAGAGGACGAAAATGACCCTACACTTATTTAGCGTGTTCGGTAGAGATTAAAATCGGATTAAAATTAAAAAATTAGTCGTTATTGTTGATTTTTATTAGACGAGTGGAACCCAATAACGGCTATATTTTCAATTTTAATTGGATTTTAATGTTTTCCAAAACGCTCGGATTAGATTTGCTTAATTATGATTAAAGCACCTTAATTAATCACGATTAATAAACCTTAATTTTCATGATGCTAATGTTGATTACTTGATTACATAGACCCTTTGCTTGTTTTACAAGGTTGTTGAGAAACTCATGGTATTAACAAATTGTTATTTTAACTACGCCTATGAAAAGATCTTTAAGTACGATATGATTAATCAAATTAATTCATTGTTATCGATATGCATTTTCAAAATTAAATTATCGAGTGACGTACAAAATCAAAAAATATAAATTCACTTATTTATTTATTTTTCATTAATGACTCCAATAAATAAATTGTGGGACAAATTATTAAAGTTGCTAAAAATAGAATATAAGTTGAGAGACGATTGTAAAGGAGGATACAATGGACATTTTGATGAAGCAAAAAATGGATCAAAATTTAGTCCGTGGAAGGCAGACGAGTAGAAGTAGTCCACATGGGCTTATGGCTCCCTAAACCCGACCAAATCATATTACATTATAAACCCTGTTTGCTCAATTGCCTGCCCACTGTCTCTAAGCCGCGTAATAATGACACGTTGCACCATAGGCCCACTTAACATTCATAATTTTTCTTACTTTTTAGTTATACATTTTTTCCAAAAAATTCCACATTAAAAAACATTAAATTAGATTTTATGCTTTATAATTAGCGTCTCAACCCCATTTTTTGCTAAGAATGCATCTTGAAATAATAAATTTAAGAAAAATACGTGACTAAAAAATAAAAAATGTTTTGAATTTGTGTATAATATTATTTTATTGAAAAATGTCTTATTGAAAATAAGAGAGAAAAATGTATTTTAAAAATTATGGAAAATAAACAAGGACTTAATAATTAATCATGAGACTTTTCTTTAATTTTTTTTATTGCTTTTCGTATTCGTGCGTCTACGAATTGTGGTCGTGTATTATTATTCTTCGCTCACTTTTGAGTGCATAAGTTTGATTTACAAAAATAACAAAAGAAATATTTTGGACCCAAGTGCAAAAGGTTTCAAAGTTGGAGACTGGGACTGCAATTTCTCCTTTAAAATATATTATTAAATCAGATATTCTTTTCTACAGAGCATAAACACAAAATTCTCTACCAAATATCAGTGTATTGTCAAACTTGAAGATCAATACCTAACCACGAATGACTTACAAATGGAAATGGATACGCTTCATTCCAAAAGCAACATTTTATGGTTAAAAAGGAAAAAAAAAAAAGGTTCACGGAACGGTAGGCTCCCTAGCAGGGGGAAGTATCTCATCGTCAAGTTCAAAGAAAAACAAGATTGTTTCGATCTGATGGGGTCAAATCTAATCTGTTCTCTATATGCAAAGAAAGAAGTAGGAGAAACTCGTCGACTATATAACAATTCACTTTACACAACATTTTTCTACTCCCGCTTCTTGCCTGTAGTCACCTCTATTCACTTAGTATGTTTAAGCCCGGGCTGCTGCAAAGAATGATTTTAGCTTCTTTTTCCTCGTCTAACACGACATGAATGTATAAAATTACAAAAGCGGGCGTCAAAAAACTTATCTCCTCCACCAATCTGGCACTTTAAGCCTCCTGCTCCTATGCACAGCAAGGTTTACAGCAGGAAGTTTCTCCCGAACCTGTCGCCAAATCATATTGACTGCATCTTCCTTCTTCGCAGGGTTCTGATATTCAAAGTGATGAGAAATGCTCCGAAGTCTCGACCACATTTTCATCCATTTCTCTTTCGGGATTCCTTTCAACTGATCAAGCATATAGTCTGGTTTTAATGCCTCTTTAACCGAGAAGAAGATTGAGAACTCCTTATAGTCTATTTCACTTTCGTAAGGCAGCTCGATTCTATCGCTCACTATGACAGGAACGCAGTGGCTCACAATAGCATCAAACAGGCGGCAAGATGAGGGAGTGTCTCCCGCAGGATTTAAACAGAACTTCGATGAACGCATTCCTTCAGTCGACTAGTTTAAGAAAAAAGGGTAAAAGCATGAGATGGAGAACAAAACAATTCATTTTATTCACAAATAATATTTCATGGGAGCATTTATAAACAATTCTACTAAAGGAGCTACTTGTAAAGAATATGATCGAACTTTGTTACTTTCATATTCACTCCTCTGTCGAATTAACAAGAAAATGTTGGTGCACAACGTTACAAGATCTCAAGCAGATGATTCAGTTGTGAAATGCATTACTGAGACAAGTAAATAAATAGTTTTTTATTGGTAGAGTAAACAATAAGTTACTTATTTTGATAGAAATTAAATCAAAATTCAGAAAAAAATTAAGTTATCCAAACATGCTTTCTAAGCAAAAGGTTAATTGGAATTAACTTTTCTTAAGCTTAGCTGACATGCCCTACGATATATGCAAATATCTATGGCATCAGAAATGCAGAGGAAAACAAAATGGCAAGGATATTGACATAACTAGGCAAACGAAAGAAAGAATCACTAGTACACTGAAGAAACTGTGGCCATAGTCTGATAAAATAGAACTGCCACAAAAAAAGCTAGGCACAGTTTCCACATGATTGAAATGAAAAATGTGGTCTAGAACTCTTTTTATTGATTTATTCGTGTATATTTTTTCACTGACAGATACGGGAAAATTCGCAACAAAAACTTACAGTTCTAAATCCTTCTTCTGATGCACTGCCTTCTTCATATATGACATCTTCTTTTTTTCCTAATATTCTTTTCAGTTTAGCACGAACAAGTCCCTCCTGCCAGATCAATGTGTCACAGGAATATTTTGCTTCACTAAAGAAAAATTAAATAAGGTTTACTTTTGTTTAATTGGCATTATGATACCTCTTTCCTCACAGTCCTCCCACGGAAGAAGAGAAGAGTTTTACGAGACTCATATGGATCCTCATTGTTATCACTGACATATGATTCTACCATGTGTACATATGGAGCGACAACATCTTTTGCAAGTCGAGAAATACCCATTATGCGACCAAAATCAGCAACAATAAATATGGAAGCATTCACTTTATCACGATGAATTCTGAAAGCATTAGGATGATGTATAGGAATTACATGGTCCCGTCCAGCTGACCTCTGCCAGTGTTCGGATCCTCTTAGTATCTCAACAATTTCATGCTGCAATAAGTAGTAATGAATATCAAATTTTGAAAATGCAATGAAAAATCAATTTCGAAAGCCATAATGAAATGAAAGATAAACTCATAATTCCAACCTTCAGACAGAATGTTACATCTCAAAGAAACTGTTCATAGTTGACTACTTGATTGAGATGATAACAAGGTGATCAGAACTCATCTAATAAATATAGTAAGTGATAAAATGAGGTCCAGAGAACCCTATCTTGTTAACAATCACTTTCAACAAAAGCAAAACGACCTCCACTTTAGTTTTGTAAGTTAACAACTACCTTAAGGAATGCTATTGAGAGAGAATTAATTTCGTTTGGTACAATCTACTTACAGTTACATACTTACATCCAGTGATACAGATTTTTTAGAAGAAAGCAAATGATTACTCCTCAGTTGCATTAGTCAAGAGGAAAAGGTTGGCAGGTATCTGGGTCTAAATATAGGAGACAGAGAAGCTTGTTTAGCTAAGCTTAAAAAGTTCAGTATAAGTATCGAAGTAAATAATGTTTTACTGGTCATAGATGGAAATAAGAGACTTATTTTGTCGATAAGGTAAAGTTACTTTCAGAAAAATATAACCTTTTTCTTGAAAGTAAGAAGAGGGTAAGTTATCCAAATACGTTTAGAAAAAGGATTTTTAAAGCTTAGCCAAACATGCTGTCTGATCTTATGTTTTTTGTTTCAAATTACCGTTACACAAAACAAGCAACCTCCAACACATGCATGTATATGCAACCACGTTATTTGTTGAGAGATTGATGTTGCAATATTAAAAGAAGAATCTCCAATAGATTTACATCTCTTCACTTGAATGCATGTTAATGATAATTAATGCTCAGCATTCACTAAAATTATTTATATCTGCTTTGTTGGCTTTGATGGATGAGTGTTTTTCTCATTCACTTGAATTAAGGGTGTGGGTGTATATTTCTTGCAGGTTTGGCAGATGACTAAAGGACCTCGACTCTTTACCATACCATGAGCATGTCCGGCAAAGAAGCCCTGTTTGGTTCCACTAAAAAGTTAGATTAAAATCAAAGTAAAAGTTAATAATTAATTTTAACACGTATTATATGGGACCATATCTTTTCAATCACACATTCCATCAATTTTTATCAAATTCAAAAAAATATCTAATTTTTATCTAAACCAAACAAGGACTAAGTGACTTTGTTATAAGCCTTGGGATCCATAAATTGTGTGAGCCAAAATGCACAAGATTGTGGGTCCCACATCTTATAAGCTAAATAAGTTGGGAATCTCAAAATCCTTTTTTTGCAATAAAAGATTGACAAGCTTCTGTTTACTTGCTCCAAAAAAAATATTTAAGGCATATATGACCACCCGACAGAGATTGTATTCATAATATGGGAAATTATATTAAAAAATACACTCTTATTGCAGGTGCAAATTTAGAAAGTGGATGATTATAACACTCTGAAACCATCAATCCACACGGCCTTCATGCACCTTAACATACAACTGCATGTGTTCATGCGCCACCAATGGTCCATACTGCTCAACACAATGGACTTAGAATCTCCTGCTCTACACAATCTCCTCATCTCCAACCCCCAACAACAGTCAGGAAACTACCCATAATTCTCCATGGGAGACCATTGTCGCCAATTAATGAACCCAACAATTCTGCCAGAATATGCTAGAGGTGTCATCTCCAGCCATCGCGCCACTGTGGGCTGAAATGAAGCTAAAATTGGAAGAGAACTGCATAAAACCTATCTTATAAACCAATAGTTTGATCAATTATAAACCAGGTAAGATACCTCCATTGCTCAGGAACATATGGCTCAATTCGAGGAGCAAAGTTTCCATGGTGATGTTTATGAAACTTCTTACATCACCATTTTCATATATACAAGTGGTGTGAAAACCGAAAATAACATGGTCCACCGCATCCAGTATTAACCACGGTGCCACTGTTAAGCATAATCAAGTAAGGTCTTCCTCTGTTTCGCATCCACGTGCTCTCCAAATTGTCTCACCGTTATCATACTAAATGTCGTCAAGCTTCTAAGTATCCATAAAAAAATATTTTCACAAAAATATCGACATCGTTTTGATACCCCAACTTAGGAAGATGATAAGCACCTTACCTTGAGCCTATGGAAAAAAAATTTATTACAAAGATCAGAATCTTGAAGTTTATGACGATGAGGAAATTTTGCTTGTTTCATGAGATGTATTTTGTAAGGATGGTTCTTGCAAATTTGTGGACAGTGGAGTTGAGGAGATTGGAGCCTCGAAAAGCACTGTCGAGAGGAAGAGCCTCGGCCCCTCCCTCCACGGTCACACGAAGATCTCTATGTACTTGTCCAGTCTGCGTGGGTGGGAGCAGGGTGAATCTCCGTAACGATTACAACGACCTAGCCAACCGTTAATTCAATGTCCTCTTAATCGAGGCACAGGTTTTTTTTCTTGTTTTCAACTTATGTCCAGATCTACCATCATTAGTTTGATCTTAAAGCCGAGCCTTACCCTCAGCCCTTCATAATAACTTGGACCGTGACTTGTTTAGATTTAGAACTTAGAATTGTTTTCCGAGGACTTTATTGTGATGTCTTCTTCATAGCGTCGCTCATAATCTATTAGGCCTCACCTAGAGCCATGGCATCAGAAAACTTTGGGTGTGATAATACTCATGACTTTCACCACAAAGGCAAGACATTTGCATTGAACCCTGTTAAGCATTCATTTATGCAGTTATTGTTGGCACTTGGCATATTTTTAGAAAGTAGATATTAATTTATTTTCTTGTAACAATTTTTAGTCTTGTAAGAAAGTTTTGCATTTGACATTTCAGCAAGTTCACATTCTTTTTAAGAATTCTTACATATAAATAGAAGTCCTTCTGATAATATGGTCCTGAAGCAAATAAATAAGTCCATTGACATTTTTATTTACTTGAGACTAACCCAATAGCTTCTTCAAGTTACTGAAGAGAAGAAATGAGACTTTAGGAAAGCGGTTTCCGTAGGTGCTCAGAGAGAATGGTTTGAGAGAGGAAAGACAGGAGGGGCTATTTCTTGATGAATCGATAACCCCAAGAAAATTAAAAATAGACATCTTCTTTCATAATATTAATATCAAACTGTAAATTGAGCTCAATTAAGCCTTTATTCGAAAATAAAGCCAATCTGTTTTTCAGTCCAGCGCCATTTCAAGCGATAGTATGCATAAACTGTGGGCAAATTCAGAGAGTGTTTGGTGAAGATTAAAATTAGATTTTTAGTGAATTATAATAGAAGTTTTTGAAATGTGTGCTTTAAAAATTGTGGAATGATGAAATATGTGGTTAATATTGATTATTTGACTTTGACTTGGATTAAAATCATCCGGACCAAACAGGGGCTCAATATAATACAGAATGAAGCACTATTGTATAACTCGGTTTCACATAAAATATCCAATAACTTGCAATTGCTACTCTCCTTTATCATACTATCTATTGGGGAAATGTTAAAATCTCAGTTAACTCTTCCCAGTAATAATTATCAACAAATTAAATAGCTTGTGGATCATTTAGCCAATTCATACAACCATTAACATTACCACTGATCATTTACAGACTTAAAAGGAACGATTCAATGATAAATAAAAAAGAAAAAACTGTACCTGCAATTTGACGTCAATCTCAGTATCCGGGTCTGTCATATTGCGACCATGTACATTGAAGCTGAGAGAAGCAAAGAAAGGCACGAAGAACACGTCAGCAAGCTTCGGATCCGTAACCCGAACCACCTCTCGACTCAACTCGGAATCACCTTCCCCATCCCCATTGTACAAAAGCGATGCCATCATCCAATACTCGACGCTATGCTGCTTCCGAAGCCCATTATTCTCCCTCCACGCCGGAAAATTCTCCGACCTCACCGGAATCTCATCTGAGACCGAACCATCAATCATCCCCACATTGAACCGCCGCGGCAAGTCGTACATGTACACCCGGAGCGGCAATCCAGAGCGGCAGAACGTAGAATTATTCAACTGGGGTAAGAACGAGAGAAAACTTGATTTGTAATCAACGGTCCCTGTAAATATTAAAGAAACACACAAGAAAAGGAAGAACACAACTAAACAAGCGAGACTCTTGTTGATCACGTCCTTCATTTTGTTCTTGAACCCAATTTTTTTCTGGTTTTCCTGAAAATTTTCAAGGTGTATATTATACTTTCTTTGTGTGTGAACTGAGTGCTGATCTGAAGTTGATTTTGGCAGGAGTGAATAAATTAAGGGAAGATTGGATCGGAAGGAAAAGAATAAGAGTTGTGAATTCATTTTATATTTTGATAGTCTGAAATTTTTTAAAATACATTTTTTTGGCAATTTTGAAAAATTGTTTTCGAAAACATAAAAATGAAAAATGCGTTTAATTTGAAATTTTGAGAAAAAAATTGATTTTTCAATAAATTTTAATGGTTTAATGTTAATATAGTATTAAATAACATATACATTTTAAAATTGGAGAAACGTCAATTTTTTTTCAAGATATTAAAAATACAACCTAAATTACATTTGATGAATTCAATCGATACGATTAGAAGTTTACGTGTCATGACAAAATAATCAGATATTAAACTATATACAAAATAAATCCACGGAGTTATGTACGACGTCTTGAGTAGTCATTCCATATTTGTGTAGCAATTTGATCCATAACTTGTCACATTTGAACTGTTTGACTAGTATCAAAATGTATGGTTTCTTGTGCTTGACTTGACTCCAATATATTTTGGAACACCATATTCTCCTTTGAATACTCAGCGAACAACCGATCTAAAGTGTGCTCCTGTGGAATAAAGTTGTGTCAACTCATACCATAATCTACCACCTAAATTATGTCATTACCATGATACTCCACGCAACAATCAACTTCTGATGCAGGAACCAGGGTGCAAAAGGTGATAAACACCCAGTTTATGGAGCAGCTACCATATTTCAGCCTCTGACAAATTGAATACTGGTAATTGGTTTTAGTTCTCTTATTTTCAATGTAGATCAAAAGAGTAGTCTATTGGCCCCAGGTCCAAATTCATACTCTCTCTTGGAAAAATAGTCATTTAGTAGTGACTCTAGAACACGTGATATTTGTTTACTCCCGTACCACATTTGAATATTAAATGACCACTTTTAGATAAGGTGGGAGTGACTGAAGATATCTTTTACTTACCCAAGTAAGATATACTTAGATTTTGTTCACGATTATGGGAGTTAGGGTGTTGATTACATGTATATAACGTAGCGAGTCTTATAGAACTTGGCTTGGATCCTTGTGTTGATCTATGATTGACTTCTCGTTTTGATTATCACAAACAAATTATGTTTATTGCTAATAAATTGATTTAAGTGTCCATAGTGATTATTGCACTTAAGTACATTCGATGGCACAAAGTTCAAGCCCAAGATATT